TCCCTCCATCTATGTAGAGGAGGAACGACCTGACTATGGCAGCGGAAACCAAAAGCACACTTTTGAACCCTTTGAAGATGACACGATGCTGGCCTATGTGATGTACACATCGGGTTCAACGGGGAAGCCCAAAGGTGGGGCCCGAAAACAGCTTCTTAGAGCACCCTAAGCAACGCACATTAGAATTGCTTACTTGTGTCCTTGTTAGGCGTCCAGATCAGCCGTGCAAACCTCTGCAGCTTCCTGGAGACCATCATGGGCTTTCCTGAATTGGCCAAGTTGGACAGCCAATGCAAGTGGCTTTCCCTTACTAGCCCGGCTTTTGACATTTCCTTGCTGGAGTTTTTGTGTCCAATCCTTATGGGTGGAGAGCTGGTGCTCGCGTGCGATGAGGCAGGCGAACGGTGCTTTTTGGCCCAAACCGGGGATATTTCTTTCTGCAACCTTTGCCTTGTCATGGTGATATGGTGATATCGTAGGATCATCGCTGCAAATTACGAGAAGTGATGGCTGTGTGCACACGATTTCGGTCTTGGTGCAGAAGAATAGTGAATTGAAGTGAATTGTAAGGAATTTCAACGCTCCGAATCTCCCACGGCTGGCCATTCTGAAGCTCCCACCAGCGTCCTGGGACAAGGTGTGTGTCAGGAGGACAGCAATAATCCGCAACTGCAATGGCAACAGCAATGCTAAGTGGCAAAGACAGCAGAAAAGCCACCGCCCAATAGCAGCACCACTGACAAGCTGCATGCGCAATAGCAGCAACAGCCTAACGCAGTGACAAGCCACAGTGGCTACTGCGATGACAAGCTGTATATGATGACATCACTGGTCAATCAGCAAACATGGTCTTGACCAGCCACAATAACAACAGCAGCAACAAACGGGTTGCGAACATTTGTTGCAATGCATGCTAGCAATGGCAAGCCATCCTGGCAGAATCAGTGTGAAGTCTCTCCTTGGCAACAGCAAGTGAATACCGCAACAACAATAGCGCATGACAAGACCACTGAGAAACCAAAATGGCAGAGGGCAAGTCAAGCCATAACGGGGTGCCGCCAGCAACAGCAAGGATGGCACAATGGCAGCAGCGATAGGAAACAAAACATATTGACTATTGACACATCAATGACTGGCCTCAATGACAAGGCCAGCGACAAGAGGTAGATGATAAAGCACAAGAGGAGTCAAGTCAAGTCTATTTTTTCTGTATCCTGCACAGACAACTAACAGGAGCGCAGGTAGGTTGGGAGGCCGTTGTGATGTGCGTAGCAGTAATACCCGCCGCACTGCAGGCAGTGCATTGCGGGCATTGCTATTGGTGTGGAGAGTCTTAGGGTTCAGCTTAAAACTTCGACATTCAACAGAAAAGATGTGACAATTACTTGGCATTCAGCTGAAACTGTGACTTTGGAGGCAAGGAACGATGGTCACCGATTGCTTTATGAGATTGAGAAGAGTGGCAGTAACATCTTACAATTGACTCCAAGCGGATGGTTGCAATTGCCTGAAACCTCAGTGAAGTGGGGACATCTTCAACTTGGCCTTTGTGGAGGTGAACAAATGCCTCCAAATTTAGCTCAACGCTTTCGACAAAGAGGACCCAACATGCTGCTTCACATGTATGGCCCGACTGAGGCCACTGTTTGGGCCACAGCCTCCAGATTCCTCAGCCTTCCCACTAAGGGTGCAGAGCGGATTGTTGGATCGCCCATGCTGAATACAGTAGCTTTCCTGGATGGGCAGGAGTTGTTGCTAGCAGGCCCTGCAATCGCGCAAGGCTATTTCAATGAGCCGGAGCTGACTGAGCAGAAGTTTCGTCAGTGTCCTGATCTGCCCGGTCATAGGATGTATGCAACTGGAGATGCTGTCAAGCGTACTCAGGATGGGCTGCTTGAATTCCTCGGCAGAATAGACTCCCAAGTGAAACTTCATGGCCACAGAATTGAGCTTAGTGAGATTGAGTGCTGCCTTGCTGAACATGAGTCTGTTCACCAATGCGCCGTGGTTGTTGATCCTGCTTTGCCACGCTTAGTTGCTTTCATTGTGCCTGTCACGAACTTGGCTGGAAATGTGCGCGCCTTGGATGAAGCAAGTTTGCGGCAATTTTTGGCCAGCTGTCTTGAGACATATAAGATGCCAGCTGAATTCCGCTCAATACAGAGCTTGCCTTTGACCCCAAGTGCGAAGGTAGACCGTCAAGAGTTGCAGGATTGGCTTCAGCCTCCATGTGCAACGGCAGTCACCGTGGATCAATTTGACAGGAGGAAGACAGTGTTGCAACAAGTGCTGGCATCGTTGTTGCCGCATGTCCAATTGGGTTTGGATGACAATTTCTTTGCTTGTGGCTTCACATCTACCATGGTCATTGAAGCGCACCGACGCCTTCAGCAATTGGGGGTAGCAGTCTTGCCTCAGCAGTTTTTTCTCTTCCCGACTTGTGCGAGCCTCCTAACCGAGTTGAATACTAGTTGCACCGGGTTGCAGCTTTCCGCCTCACAAACCTTCCAAGCTGTAGGGATAGAAGTGGCCGGATTGTCCCTACGCGCCGGCAAATCCAAGTTCTATAATGAGTTCTGGAGCAACTTAGCGGCTGGGACTGATTGCATCACCGATTTCACTGACCAAGAGCTCCAGGGCATGGGAGTTCCAGAAGCAGACTACAGTTCGCCGATTTTTGTAAGGAGCAAAGGTGTTGTCGACGACTTCGCATGCTTTGATGCGACTGCTTTCGAGATGTCGAATCAAGAGGCTCAACATTTGAGCCCAAATTTTCGATGCTTCCTCGAGGGTGCAGCCCATGCATTGGAAGATGGTGGCTATGACCCTTTCTGCTGGGGCCGGCAGAAGATAGGCGTGTTTGCTGGCATGGGGGACAACAACTACTTGACTGGAGGTTTCGCTTCTGCCGAAGACACGGTTGTAAGCTTGGGCAACGACAAGGACTTTTTGGCCGGCCGTGTGGCCTACCACTTTGACTTGTGTGGTCCTGCTTTGAATATTCAAACGGCCTGCTCCACAGGCTTGGTTGCAGTTCTTGAGGCAAAGGTAAGCATGGAAAGGGCCAGTTTGGAGGCAGCTTTGGCAGGTGCTGTATCGTTGGCGCCCTTCAGTCCTGGCTATGTTGCTGCTGAGGGCTTGCAGTTCTCCCGGCGTGGTCGTTGCCGTGCCTTTGCAGCGGATGCTGATGGCATCGTGGTTGGCCACTTGGTGCCGGTCATGCCTGCAGTGGTCTTGTTTCACTTTTTCTCCTGCTGCCTTAGGTTTAATACATGAGGAATGGGCCAAAGATTCGCTTCATGGGTTTTGCAGCCATGTGGCAGTAACCAGCGCAGATCATTAGCAAGCATCCATGCAGACTCTACACATGGCCGCAAATCAACGCAACATTACTGTCACTGTAACCCAGCACAGATTGCCGCCAAAAAATTTGCAGAGGTCGTTAGAAAACGACAGCTGATGCATCATGTCTGCTTGGTCAATCTTTGATGAATGATGCAGAACCTCTGCTTGGCCATGTTCGTCCCGTTCTGACTGACAGATGCGAAGGGAGGCAGCGCAATGACCAGAGTGCTAGCGGCCGAGGTCTGAGCATCAGGGATGCTCGCTGCTGCACATCCACGCAAATAGCTGCAGCAACTGCCTCATTAAGGCGTCACTAAGAGCCACTTGATATCAGCGCCACTGGCAGAGCAAATCGCCCACCCCTGCCACCAATCTCACTGTGCGCGGCATGCTGCAAGAATTACCGCGGTTCATTGCGTAATGCCATTGACAAGTCTCGCCTACGGTTTGTGTAAGAAATGCCTTGCCGTTCGGTGGTTTGTGTAGGGTCATAGTAGATTTACATCCTTTCTGTTTAGACCAAAGTGAACGAATACTTTGGTCAGTTTCAATGGTTTGATCTTGGTGCCCCAAAACATATTTTGCAAAGAGACATCGTCAAAAAAACATCGCTGGGACACGTTCTAGATTTTTCATGACCAGGGTTGTTAGTAGAACACTTGCCACTCTTTCTGTTGTAAACCTGAGAAATTCGAACAGGTGTCCTTTTTTGTGTCTAAGCTTGCAGCAAACATTGCAAAACGATACGGGTCACATCAAGCTACGAGTTCTTGCCACATGTCCATGAGCTGTCGGGGTGATTGGAGGCAGTAACTCAGTAGCTGAGGTCAAGGCGTTGCAGTAGTGCTGCTGAAGGCAAATGGAGCGGCACATTGTGCTCTTCGAGGTTGTCTGGTCAATAGTGACGGCAGAGCCAAATCTGTCTTCCAACATCCATCCCAGCTGTCACAATCCACTCTCCTTGCAGAGACCTGGCAGCGTAGCCAAGTGGACCCGTGCCAGCTTTCCATGATAGAGTGCCATGGTACAGGAACACGGATCGGTGATCCGATTGAAGTTGGTGCATTGGCAAGCGCTTTCGGCAAATTTGGACCGCCAACAGGTTCCAAGGTGATAGCCTCGGTGAAGAGCAATGTGGGGCATGCTGGGGCTGCAGCTGGAGTCATCGGATTTATAAAGACTTGCCTGGCCTTGAAGCACCGTCTCATTCCTGCATCGTTGCATTGCAGGACGTTGAACCCTGACCTTCCCTTGGGCAAGTGTTTTGTTGTGTCGCAGGAATTGCAAGGCTTCCCCCAAAAGGAGACACCATGCGCAGCCGTGAGCTCCTTTGGTTTGGGTGGCACAAATGCACACGCAGTGCTGGAAGCCATTGGTGAGGCTGCAGAAACTGAAAGTCGTCGGGAACCAACTTCATTCCGGAGAGATGTATTTTGGCATCCGCAAATCGAGAAAACCATAGGAGTGGGCCACGGCTATCCTTTCTTCAGCTCAGCCCATCCAGTGCTTGGAGAGGCTCCCTGGGTCAATGGACAGAAGCTCTACCCTTGCAAGCTGAATCCTCGTGATGACCGGGTGGCCTTCCTTTGGCAACATCAGGTGAACGGAAAAATTGTTTTCCCAGGGGCTTCTTTCCTTGAACTCTTTCTGGAGGTGGGGCATCGTCTTGGGTTTTGCGAGATTTGCTTGCAGGAAGTCGGTTTCGAGAGGCCGCTGGTCCTGAGTCAGGAGAATTGTGAATTTTACGTGGCACTCGACATGGAATCTGGGGATGTTGAGAAGGGCAAAGTACGGGCTACAAGTTTGGATGGACAGACAGTTTTTGCCAGAGCTGTAGTGCAGCGTGGTGCGCCTCTGAAGTCCATGCCACATCATTCTGAGGAGAGAGCATTTGTTGACGTGCTGGAGGCCTATCGGAAAGCTTCCTATGGCCCGGCTTTCCAGACTGTGCAGCACATGGAAGCTGGAGGGACCACCGCAACTGCAAGACTTGCTGTGCAAGATGGAGGTTTTCAGCGCCCTGATTTTCGCTTTGAGCCAACCCTTTTGGATGGAGCGTTTCAGATCATGCTCGGCAAGTCAGCGGGGGAAGTGTGGCCCCGCTCTGTCAAGTCAGTCCACTTCGACAATGGCGGTGGCAAGGCGTTGCGTGGCGCGGAAGCGAAAGCTGAATGGTACCACAGCTTGGAGGGATCGGTGCAGCTTTTTGACGAAGATCAATGTGTCCTCCGCCTTGAGTGCTTGCAGTTCAGCCACAAACCCCGCAAGCCACAAGTCGGTAGACCTGGCCTTGCTTTTCAGGGCACGTGGGATGATGCTCCCCTTCCTGGACGGGGTTTTAACGGTGGCATGGAAACGTCTTGCGTAGCGTTTCATTCACAAGGAAGGAGCCTGGGCTTGCTGGGAGAGCTGGGCAAATTGTGTGACGTGAAGCTGGTTGGGTTGGATAGTGGACTTGTGTTTGAGAAGGATTTGTTGGAGCTCCCTACCAATGCCACTCTTCTATTTTGTGTGAGTTTGGAGTGTGATGGATCGGACGACTTGTCCCAGCAGCTTGCGGCGTCCTGCCTTTGCCTTCTGAATCTTGTGCGCGCACTTTTCCATGAGAAAGGTCAAAGAAGCCGGTTGCTTGTGCTCACCAGGTGTGCTGCCGAGGTGGCTGATTCTGCGATGCCACTTCATCTTTCACAATCAGCCTTTGTAGGTCTCAGTAGGGCCATTCAACGTGAATGCCCGCAGTTGACTGTCCTTCACATTGATTTGGATGCGATGGAACCTGCTGAGGACGCCAAATTGCTGGCGCAGGAGCTTGTGTCGGACACTGAACCAACAGAGCTTTCCATTGCCTATCGGAGAAGCCAGCGTTATGCCTGGAGACTGGGCTTCGCTGACTTGATGGAGGGGCAAGAGAATATGCCCCTGCTTCAGGGGACATACATGATCACTGGCGGCTTGGGTGCCTTGGGGTTGGAGATTGGAGAGTGGCTAGGCAAGCAAGGAGTCTCTGAACTTATCCTGGTCAGCCATCGGGAAAAGCAGTCCAGTTCAGTGCATGGCAAGCTTCGCAACATGGACCAGCTCAACTGCAAGGTGTCCATTGAGCTCAGGAATGTTTCCCAGCGAGACCGTGTCGATGAGCTTTTCAACAAAGTTGGCAGTCGGCTGACTGGCATTGTCCATGCGGCTGGCGTTCTGTGTGATCAAAGATTGTTTGATGTGAGCATAAGCACCTTCAACAGTGTCTTTGACCCCAAGGCAGTGGGGGGATACTTGCTTCATGCTGCTTCTCGGTTGCGCAAGCCTCAGCTTGAACATTTTGTGCTCATGTCCTCAACTTCCTCTGTTCTTGGTTCTATTGGTCAAGCTTCGTATGCGGCTGCAAATAGCTTTTTGGATGGCCTTTCGGCGAAGCGACGCCAAGAGGGCCTTGTTGCGCTCAGCATCAATTGGGGTCCATGGGCCGAAGTTGGCATGGCCGCAAAGTCAAAGTTGTTGCCTGGCATACAACACCTGCCAGTGCAAGATGCGTTGGAGGCTTTGGGTCAGGCCTGTTTGCAGTATATCGTTTTGTTGAAACTCATGTCAAGAGCACAGCTTTGGAAGAACATGCAATTCAGTGCAACGTGCTTCATTTCTGCTGGCAGGTGCTTCAGTTGCCTCTTCCCCAAGTCGTGGTTGCGGATTTGGACCAGCGGATGCTGTCATCCAAGGTTGCTTGGGCTGAGCGCTTCAAAAGCCACCACAAAACAAAGGCTGGCGTATGAAAGGGATTGAAAGACAGTAGCAACAGTTTTTTGCACAGTGACATGATGGTGTCTAGCCTGGTCTAGCCCCATTAGTTCATCAGGAATTGTTGTGTTGCTGGGTCGGTTCTTGTGTGAGCGTGTGTGTCACTTGCCTCGCAATCTGCTGTCATGTCCAGCTAACTCTGCTCATGTTTCACCGCAGTTTGCAGTGCGTGTTTGCGTCTTTGGCTGTTGATGCTGTCCCAGTGCTGTCCCAGCCCCCAGATGGATACACAAACTCTATTCTCTGTAGATTTCGGACATGAGCTTCCCAAAGGCCAAGGTCTTACTGGACACTTTTTATCCGAATGGCGAAAGGTGAAATTCAAAGAGTGGCCCTGTCAAGGCAAGTTCCGAAATGGCACAGAGGAGTTGCTGTCAAAACTCAACCGCGCAAGGTGTCAAAGAGACATACTCTTGACTAGTGGCCCAACTGGAAACGAAATCAGTCTCAGCTCTCTGAGCGATCCTGCTGTGGTAGTCGCGGTCCGATTTGGACGTTAAAGGAGGCTTGGCTAAGGAAAGAAACAGAGCCTGATTTATGGCAGACAAGCCAAGTAAGGGGACAATCAACCTATCGAACTCAAGCAAGAACTTGTGTACCAAAAGGGAGGAAATGTGACGAACCGCTGGAAGACTTACAAAAAAGACTAGAGGAGGATTTGGCCAAGAAAGGGACGGTGCTCACAAATGCAGAAAGACATAACCAGACAAAATAGATAAGCTAATCGAGACCTTGTGCAAATCGGAGCCCACACTGGCGAATTAAGTGAGATCTTGTGTGAGCAACCACTAAAATTCTGATTTGCTCTTGCCAAATGTGTTGTCAGGTGTAGCGTTTTTTGTTGTGGCATGCACCCAGGGGTAGGATGTGTTGAAGCGGATGTGTCGGACCCGATTGTGTTTTTCGAACGGGTGCATACGGGTGGTCGTCAGCTTCCGCAGGTTAAACTTGTTTCGTTTCCGGTCCTCCTGGTTCCGGTCCTGTTGGTGGCGTGTGTATTGTAGGCTGGTGCTGCTGGGGAAACCCCGCCAGGTGATCCTTGATGACGCGCATGCCTTGCGGTCGTTTCTGGTGGCAACTGTGAAGGAGATGACAGGTGCGTGTGAAGTGGACACAACGACGAGCTTTGCTGACCTTGGGGTTGATTCACTGCACATCATTTTGCTGGTGCACAAAATCCGAGACGAAATGATGTTGACAGTCCAGCAGCTGGATGAGACCACTTTGTATGACAGCAAGTATTCCACCATTGATGGGCTCACGACATATTGCCTGCAAGTTGGCCAGCAGTCCGTGGTGGCTCAGTCCGTGGCTTGTCCCACACCGCAAAGTACCTCTTGTTTTGTGCAGGCTGTTTCGTGCGAGTACCCTCGAGGACTCACAGACATGCGAACTCTTTTTGATTTCCTCATGTCTGAAAAGGATGCAGTTTCTGAAGTTCCAGTGTCGCGGTGGGACATTGATTCATACTATTCAGAGGAAAAGCAGCCTGGTTTCTTGTACACCAGACATGGTTCCTTTCTTGCTCGGAATCCGTTTGCCTTTGATGCGAAATATTTTGGCCTGGCCCCACGAGAAGTGAAATACATGGACCCGCAGCAACGTCTACTTCTTGAGACCGCGGAGCAGGTTATGGTCACTACATCAGGCAGTTTGGCCGAACGGGTCAGATCTGGACCTTCTGAGACAGGAGTCTTTGTCGTTTCCATGACCCGTGACTTTGGCGATCAGCTGTGCCTACACCAGGTGCAGCAAGGAAATCCAAGCGCTTTGATGTGTGTTTGTTCTTGTTTCGAATTATTTATATAGATGTTCTGTCAACCCAACTCCAGCTGCTCAATTTCTTGCAGCGCCAGGTGCCACACGACCAATATGCCGGTAGTGGAAATTGTCCAAGTGTTCTTGCAGGAAGAATTGCAGACCGCCTTAATCTGGAGGGGCCAGCGATGACATTGGCGACCGCGTGCTCTTCCTCCCTTGTAGCGTTGAACGTGGCTCGTTTGCATCTCCAGACACAATGCTCAACTGCGTTGGTAGGTGGTGTGAATTTGATGCTGGCTCCTGATGTGACGATCAACTGCTGCCAAGCCGAAATGCTCTCACGCTTTGGTCGCTGCCGGAGCTTTGATCAAGCTGCGGATGGCTACGTCCGTGGCGAGGGTTGTGGCATGTCCTTTCTCGGTGGTGACTCCAGCTTCCGAGTGCTGGGGTCTTATGTCAACCACGATGGCAAAGGACAAGGCTTGACAGTTCCGAATCCTGGTGCCCAGACGAAAGTGATTCATCAATCGATGCGCTGCGCGATGCTGGGGCCCATGGAGATTGACCTTCTGGAAGCACATGGGACTGGAACCTCTTTGGGTGACCCTGTGGAAGTTCGAGGCCTTCGCACCGTCTTCAAGGACAAGATGCCGAGCTTGCTACTGAGCGCCCTGGAGGTTGATTTGGAGGTAGTGAAGAAATGTGAATGTGGATTCATGTCCAACTGACCAGTCTTGAGCAAATGCTGCTAGTAGGGAATGTAAGGTCAATGCTGTTAATTGTGCTTTTGTGCCCAAGGTTTTAGCCCCTTGCCCTTTGCTGAGGCACAGCCAAAAGCACATTTGGTCACCTTGAGGCTGCAGCAGGAGCTTTGGGCCTGCACAAGGCCATTGCTTGCCTTGCGACGAATGCAGTGCCGAGAAACATTTGGCTTGAGACTTTGAACCCTTTGGTGGCAGAGCTTCAGGAGGGTTGGTTGCAGGTGGTGGCTGAAAGCACGCAAGCGTCTTTGTCACTATGTGGTGTAAGTAGCTTTGGCTTCAGTGGCACCAACGCCCATGCAATCGTGGCAGCATCAGTATCAGAGCTTCTACCCTCCAAACCATTCACTTTTCAACGGCGAGATCATCCATGGGCTTGGCCAGGTCGTTCGCCTCACATGTCAGCCGCAACCAGCGTAAGCAGAGCTCAGGAAGTTGCTTACTCGCTAGAATGGGAGATGAGTGTGCCTGAACAAGGCTCGCCCGACAAGCAGCACAAGAACCTCATTCTGAGCAATTGGGACGATCGGTTCATGCTGTCGCTTGAATCCGGAAATGTCCAGGCTTGCTGGAATTGCCCCGTCGGATTTCTGGATCATGATGGACACATTAAAGAAGTGCATCTTGACCAGCCCAAAAGCCTCCAGGTTCTTATCAGAGAAGAAGCTCACGGGGTAGCGCGGGTCATCATTTGTGCGCAGACGCACGTAGAACCGCTTCCAAAGCCAGACCTGTTGTCCTTGGCCTGCTGCTTGCACTTGTTGCAAGCGCTCATGGAAGCCAAAAAGGCCATTCCAGTGGTCGTAGTCACAGCAGCTGCTGCATTGGTCAGCAAGTCTCAAGACACAGTGAATTTGTCGCAAGCTCCTTTGTTGGGCTTTGTACGAGCTGCCGCAGTGGAGTATCCTGGACATCCTTTTCTTGTAGATGTTCCACTTGGAGAGCAGCTGGATTTGTCCAATTTGACATGGCAATGGCCATGGCAAGCTCTGCGGGATAGAACTTCACTCCACCAGGTGCTCGTGAAAGCCGCGAAGGAGTCTGCAGCTTTGGATGTGACGGGCAAGACCTTTGCGGTGAGTGGTGGCTTTGGCTCCCTGGGCTTCGAAGCCACTTGCTGGTTGGCCGAGCAAAAGGTGAAGCGTTTGCTGATCCTCAGCCGCTCTGCTGAGAACCATGAGGAGAAGTTGCAGCATCTGAGGAGCCAGTACCCTGACACTGAAGTCTTGGCAAGGAAATGCAACGTTACTCAGGAAGAAGAGGTTAGAGACTCGCTTCGCTTGCTGAATAGCTTGATCCATGGAATGGTGCACTGTGCAGGTTCGGCTACCCAAGTCGGGCTGCTAGGGACATTGAGGCAAGCTGATTTCAATAACTTGCAAGAATCTGGTGCGTATGGATCTTGGACTTTGCATGCAGTGACGGAGAAGTTCAACCTAGAGCATTTTGTGCTCTTCTCATCCTCTGCCTCAGTTCTGCCTATGGAAGGACAGTCGAGCTATGCAGCGCAGAATGCCTTTCTTGATCAGTTGGCGGAATTTCGTCGGCTTGGTGGCCAAGCTGCCTCAGTCATCAACTTTGGCCTTTGGGGTCAGGTTGGGATCGGAACTGACCAAGCCTTCAGGAAGAGGCTTACCCCTGGCATTGGAGTGTTGGACACAGTAGATGCCTTGGAAGTTCTAAAGCTTGCGATGAGAAGAGGGGTTCCTCGCCTCATTGCGATGCCTGTTGACTGGAAGGCTTTGATGCCGCATTTGGATTGGAGCGTGAAAGCTTTCGCCAGTAAGTTTGTCAAAGCCAAGATTGTGTTGCAGGAGTCTGCCCCAGGATTCTCATGCTCGCGCCCTTCCAAAGCTGACGCTAGTCAGATGATCCGCTCCGCAATTTCGAGGGTGCTAGAAACAGGTTTGAAAGATGTGGCTGATGATGAGGACTTGGACTCGCTGGGCTTTGATAGCCTCATGTTTGAGCAGTTGAGGAGGATCATCAACGAAGAGTTAGGTGAGCAAGTTGTGTCCGCCGCGTCGGTCCCTGAGCTGTGTTTTTGTTCAAAACGAGCCTTGCGATGAAGAGTGTCCGCGAACTTGACAGTTTTTCCCGGATGCGCCGGGAAGGGATTCTCGTGGATCCTTGGAGGTCTGGGGGTAGAGCTGTGTTCGCGTGACTGCGCCGCCCGCAAGTGACGGAATGTGATCGGTAAGGCCGCGGCGTTGGGGGAAGCTTTTGGAGGAGGTTTTGGATGGAAGCTTGAAGTGTCCGACTCCTGTGAAATAGCGTGCAGACGTGACATGCCCAAGTGTCCCAAGTGTATCTAAAGCTTGATTTCCTGTGCAGGTGCAGCGTTTTGTGAGGTGCCCACAAAGTATGGAAATCATTCCAAGCGTGTGTGGTGCAATTTCTGCTGAAGATGATGATGTGATGTATATTGACGTTTCATGGCAGGCGCAGCACTTCGTGCTTTTTGGAAGTGGCGAAGTTGAATTTTGTGGCAGGTGCCGGGGCTCGCTGTGCCATTGGGATTGGCGCGTCGGCGGCTGTGTTTTTGAAGGGCTGCGAAGCTGCTTGGCAGGGCTGCTTGATGTGCTCGCTGTGATTAGGCTTCCCGCTTGACTTTTGGAGGAAGGTTCCGCACCAGGTGCTCAACTGGAGAGTTGTCAGTCTAGCTTTTGGAGGGAAGTCTCATACGAAACGCTTGTTTTGGAGACTTGAGGCATGACTTTTGGAGGGAGAAGTCTTGACTTTTTTGGAGGGAAATCTTGTTGGAAACGCTTGTTTTGGAAGAGAAGTCTCGTGCGAAGTGGTTGGTTTGGAGACTTGACACGGACTTTGGAGGAAACCTCATATGACTGGAGACTTGACCCGCGACTTTTGGAGAAGGTTTCGCCCAAAAAGCTCGTGTCAGCTCCGGGATCGGAATTGGGAACTTTCTTGCTGAAAGTGGTGGGGGCTCCGGGCTTGGGACTGTGTAGTGCAGATGTTGTGGGAGATCCGTGTTCAGAGGTGGTATGCAGTGCAGCGAAATTACGGCCCTCATATCTGTGCCATGCGGGTTTAGCGCTGAAGAGTGACCTAGGAGAGTGTCTTACAAGAGCGACCCATAAGAGTGCTCCACAAAATTGTGCCACAAGACTGCGTGCCCTACAAGAGTGTCCTACTAGAGTTTCGTGCAAGAGAGTTCACAAGGCTGTGCCGCACCAGTGCCCGCAAAAGTGTCGCGTAAGAGTGTTGCGCAAGACTGTGCCGCAAGAGTGTCCCATAAGAGTGTCCGACAAAAGCTCCCCGAGTGTCTTACAAGAACACGAGAGTGGACCAGAGGAGTGTCCCAAAAGACTGTGCCACAAGAGTGTCCTACAAGAGTGTCCCACAAGAGTGTTCAGCAGAAGTGTCCCATAACAGCGTCCTACCCGGGCCTCGGTTTAAGTCGTATCAACTGGAGGAAAGTCGTATCAAAATGGCGCGCGCTTGGGGATTGACTTCTCTATGAATGTTTGTTGTCGTTGTCGTTGTCGTGGTCGTGGTCGTGGTCGTTGTCGTTGTCGTTGTCGTTGTCGAAGCCTCTTCCTAGCCAAGGGCACCTAGGATTGCCCTTCGATTCGCCGGTCGACCCTCGTGCATGGGCCGCTTCCTTTGGCAGCTGACGTTCTGGCGGCTTTGACCGCCCTGCTGCTGTGGGCTACACGCTGGCATCAGCCCCAGCTGCCTTGGACTGGCCTTTTGGCCCTTCGTGACCCGCATCCATTGGTCGCACTTGTGAACTGGACAATTGTTCCCTTCGTTGTTGTGCTAGGACCACCGTCCCAAGTCGGTGGGTTGCAGTATTCTAGAGATAGCTACCCAAGCCATTCGTTCTGCAACAGAGGTGAGGTTTGGGTGAGAGCCATGGCTCACCCTGAAGTGGACATCCTTGAGGCTGACACCAATCACACTTGTATGTCCACAAATCCACATGGCCCCAAGCCACCCAGTTGGGGAACCTTTAAACGGTTACGTCCCCATGAAAAGCGTAGCTACAAACGAGCTCGGCGTCGTGCGCTCCGGGATGGATACGTCTGGTACAAGGGCCAGTTGTTCGATCGTAAGCACTTTAACTGTGATCCATTGCCTGATGCTGTCACCACCTTGCCCAAGTCTTGTTCACCTTCAGTTCGTCCCCAGCGCACTGCAAGGAATCGTTTGCACTTGATGGCCTGGAATGGAAGATAGATGAGTTGCGGGGTTGGCTGCATCTGCAGATGATCCAGGTGGTGGTGATCCTGGAGACCAGATGGCAATTTGATCGGGAGTGGGCTGAGGATGGATGGCATCACATTGCCAGCAGCGGTACCCCTTTCCGCTCTCATGATTCGTGCCACCCTTTGTTCCTCTGATCAAATTAGCTGGCGAACACCCATCCCTGGTAGACTCGTTCACATTCGACTCCATCTCAATAGACCGGTTGATATTGTTGGCTGTTATCAGCATACATTCGTGAATACCCGGCAATGCAAACACAACAGATGCTTGTGGACCAAGGCCCTGAACGACTTGTTAACCGATCTCCCCAGACGAAACACCCTCGTCGTTCCCGGTGATTGGAACTGCGGGTTGCCACAAACTCACCCACATGTTGGTAACTCGCACTTCCTTCACTCCAACGGTCGTATCACTGGCCCCATCGATGAGGACTTCAAATGCCACCTTGATTTGATCCAGATGCATGATCTTTGTGCCATTAATACCTGGCGTCATGACATAGGACCAACATGCCGTACGGCCAAGGGAGACATGTCATGCACTGATTTCATCTTCACTCGTCTTAGGCAGACTGATTGTGTGGCCTTGGAGTCGATGCCGATTGAATCTTTTGATCTTTTAGGACCCGCCAAGATTGGTCACAGACCCGTTGTTGGTTCGATCAACCTTTCATGGCGACCGGCATCAGGAACAGCGTTGCAGTGCATCACGTATCAAAGTAGAATCAACTGCCGTCAAATGCAGCAGGACGAAGCCAGCTGGACGCATTTCGTCGAATCCAATTCGACTCAGGCCAGATGGATTGCGCCCAGGAATTGTTGACCCACAACTATCAGCACAACTTTGCCACACGGCAGGCTCACAACCTTTTTTGGAAGCAAACGCATGGGTTGATGACTCAGAAGTGGGACCTTTTGCACAGAATCCGAACGCTTCACACTATCTCCCTCCGTAACTGTCTAGTTGCTTGGCGCCTTGTTGTCGAACATCAAAGATGTCATGCCTTGCAAAAACACCGATCACGTCAGGCCCGAACTGAACGGTTCGACCGGATGTTTGATGAGGCTCGAGAGGCAGCCAATCGACGTGACATGTTTGGATTGTTTGCTATTGTTCGTAAGCTCTCCCCCAAAGAGAACTTCTCAGTCCCATTGAAGCTTTCGTACGCCTGCAACATTTTGTCCGGACATCTTGGGACGGTCCACCTCTTCATTCACCGGTTGGGTTGGCCCCATGCGTGCCTTTCTCTGAGCAGGAACTGGCCGGGGCGTTTGCGCGGCTCAATGTCATGAAGAGCACCGCGCCAGGAACTTGCCCTAATGCTTGCTTAAAGGCTAGTGCCATTGAAGCTGCGTCTCAACTGTATCCCCTGTTGGAGACTTGGTGGTCTCAGAATCCTCCTTACGTCCCACAATCTTGGAGGATGGGTCCCGGTTCTTGTCGCCTAAGCCAGGTAAGAAGCCTGATACGGCTGCTCATCTCAGACCGCTTGCGCTTCAGATCCAATTGGAACCACCATCTTGGGCATTTTGACGGGTATTGCGCGAAACAGTGTTCTCTCTTCTCTTTGCGCCCAACCTCAGTTTGCATACCTTCCAAAACGAGGGACCTTTGAAGCCATCAGCCGTGCGGTGAATCATTGCAGGACCGTTCGAGAGACTCTCTTTTGGGTTCCGTAGGCCGCAAGCTGCATTAGCCCACAACCAACAGGCTCCTGAGGTCTTCGGAGGTCTAACCATTAGTATTGACCTCAAGCGTGCGTTCGACAGTTTACCTCATCCGGGGCTGTTTCATGACCTTCGGGACCTTGGAGTGGATGAAGCTTGTACTTGCCTCCTCCAGGAATGGCATGTTGGCACTCGATACAGGGTTGAACATAAAGGTCATAGCAATCACGTAGATGTCAATCTTGGAGTTCGCCAAGGGTGCCGTGCCGCTCCATTTCTTTGGGCACGCAGTATGTCCAGACCTATGAGCAGGCTGGCGCAGCTCACGAGCGTGGAGTGGGTCCTCAAGGTATTGACCCTCTACGCAGATGACTTTCTGTTGCAATGTGAGGTCAACAATGAACAAGATCTTCGGGACCATTTACACTTTAGTGGCGTTCTTTTTGATTTATTGGACCAAGCTGGGTTGGTTATGAACCTTACCAAGACGGTGGCCCTGTTTCATCTCAGTGGCAAAAAATTTCGGAGTTTTTGCTGATTCCTCGAGCCTCAGGGAAAGCCACTAAGATACAACTGGTTGCTGACATCAAGTACCTGGGAGTTAAATTGAAGAAGTCTGATGAACCAGGCACTGGACAGCCCTCGAACAGTTCCCCACCAATGCGCAGACTCTTGGAGCTACCACACGTATGCGTCATTTGTGCAGATATCCTCCCATCCGTTGAGTCATTGCAAGAGCATATGCGGACCCATGACTCCTACCACTCAGTTCGTGATGCAACCATGGGACATCCGACCTGTGCGCGTTGCAAGACCATTTTCAAGGAAACGTGGGAGCTTCAGCGTCACATATCACGACACTCATGCCCGGTGTTTGATGCAGCATTGCAACCGGCAGGTGCTCAGTGTCATGACCCTGATCTTCAAGAAGCTGTTCGGGCAGGCCAGCTCATTGAACTTCTTCTGAACCCTCAACATCCAGAAGCGCGACTCAGGTTCACTCTTTCATGCTGCGTGTGTGGGTTGGAGCAAAGCAGAGTTGCCGATTTGACGCGACATTTGCAGACGCAACATGGTCCCTTCTATCGTGCAGCTGACAAGTATGTTGCCCTGATCGAGGAACAGCATCTGGATTGTGTCTGCAATCCACGTCGACCAGCTCAGCCACGAGCTCACCGCTGCATTGCGTGGAGGCAGTTGGCAATGATTGAGGTTTTCATCAATCCAGATCGTCGACCGTTCTTTCCAACATGGCCAAATACTGATGACTCCCTGGTCAAACTGGCACAAGTCAACCCACGACTGCATGCGCAGGCGCCCAAGCTGATCCAGGACCTGCGTGACAACCTGCCCATTCTCCTCTTGGAAGACGATGCCACATGTCAGGGGCTTGGACATCATTGTGCATTGTGCAATCGAAGTTATCAAGATCAGCGTGAACTCGTTCAACATATTGAACAGCAGCGCGCCACCGAATGTCAACAATGCACTGCACTCCTCCAATGCCTCTGGCTCACACCAGGGACCCGCTTCCTTGTTGTGCATGGAAGGAAGACAGCACTACCTACAATGTGGTTGATCACACATCATGGTATGCACTTCGTCACAAATGTGGTTCTGTTGAACTTAGCCCTGATCTATCTTCAGACTCGCCCTGATTTTGAGAGCCATGGCCGAGCGCAAACAGGAGGTGTCCGACGAGGACAAGATGTCCCAGATGCAGGAAGCGTTCAAGGTATGCTGGCAGGCGCACCGACTCCCAGCCGCCAGCCAGCATCAGCCAAGAAGATCAAAGTCCACCATCCGGACCAATCCACTCGACGTTCCTCGACGACAGCAGCTCCAGAGGACTCAGCGCAGTCGGGACAAGTCTCCCAACTATGTCGGATGCTGGCAATCCTGACCCTGAGACACGAGGATGCCCGCAATGCCCTAGCCTGTCAGGACCAATGCATCTTGTTCCTCACACAGGGTGCTCAAGGAGTGACGCATCTCCTCATTTAGGCAGCAAGATTGGTGAGGGCAAACGACACCCGTGAATCCTCTCAGGGTAGTCCTGATGCAGACTCTGCTCGAAGAGCTGATGAGGAGATTCAAAGGTTTTTGCACCAAGCTCTCGGATGCGGACTTCCGTCGACAGGGCATTCTCACCAAGAGCATTTTGGAGGACAACACGATCCCCTACCTCCAATGGTGTCATCAGCAGAAATGCCTGTCCCGTCACAGATGCAGGGCATCAGCGCGACCGAGATGGAGCAGATACTTCAACGCCTCCATGCAGCCCTCCAGGAACCGGCCAGTCTGATCAGGTTCTTTGCTCTCAAGAGCCAGGGAAACACTACAGGGGTTACACCATGGAAGACTCAGCTGGCCATGCGGAACGATCCGCTGATGTGCGAGATGAGATCCCTCATTGGTTCAGCTGTATGGATGCTGGTGACAGGTCGGGACTTTGCGTACTCCCGCCGGCCAGGGAACCGCCGGCATTGAGGGACCTCCTACGCGGTGCATTTTTGGGGGCGCAGCTGCAGAATGACAGCTGCTGGTGCTGGGCAAATGCAGGTTTGCTTTGTACCATTTGGGCTCTACTATGTCGCCAAACCTTTTCCCTTGAGGACTTTGGGGTTCAGATTCGCCCTGTTCGAGCTTTCCTTCACAGGCTTCAGACCATGCCGGGGACAAGTGTGGCCTTAGCCTTTCCTGATTCTCCTTCGACAGGCTGCATCGTCATGTATGCCACGAGATGTTGGTGAATTTGTTTCGGAGCTCGTCGCCTGGCTCGAATCTGAGGCAGTATCCATGACCTGGGAACGACGCTCTCTGGCTGGATCAAAAGTAGCGATCTGAAGCTGGTTCATGGCAATATCCCATCTCACATGAACTGGACATTCCTGCCCCCACGTTGACTCAGCTTCTTCAGCCATGGGTATATGCAGAATCCATGCACTCAGCCTTCCTTTCGATTGGAACTTGGAAGTGTATACACATTGATCGTGCCTTGATGTTCACTCCGCTCCTCGGCCACAACAATTTGCTGGAGCTTGAGGATACCCTGGACCTCCCGTTCTTTGAGAACAACAGGACTCATGACATTCACGCACTCCCTCAGGTCCAGTGTCAGGTGTGGTGCATCTTGGCATCCGAAACTCAGGCCACTTCATCACCTTTGTAAAGGCTTGGAATCCGCACTGCTGGTACGAGCTTGATGATGCCAAGCCAGCCAAGACACATCAGAGTCTTCCAGACTGGGCCAAGCGACGCCTAGGTCTTGATTTGGTTGTGCCCGGCTCCGTGTACGGCAGACTCGTCAGCTCCCATCACAACAGGTCTCCCTGTTGACGATACTGAGGATTCTGATGTCAGCGCCTTGGATGCCAATTGGCCCCTGAACGAAGAAGCCACTGATCAGCAACAACTTAATTCGCTGCTGTCGCGCATTGCGGCTGTGCTGGAGCCCTCTGCGCCGGCAGCCTCTAGGCCTGGCAGCGGAAATGCTCACCGCTGATGTGAGAGACTGCGCCGTAGCTTGTTTTCTCCTGTTTTCTCATGAGGTTGCCTGTGACTGACAGGTCACGGCTTTTACTTGGGTCTTGCACATTCTCAGCACACGTGCTGATTTTGAGTTCAATTTTGATGGAATAGCTGAATCTTAGTTGCTGAAGGATGCAACCAAGCCTTTTCAAGGCTGCGCTACAAAGCTCTCCCACGAGGAGTCCGCTGACAGGAACGTCAGTGAAGGCTGCGCTACCCTCTGGGCGCGTGAGAAGAAGAAGTTGTCGTTGTCGTTGTCGTTGTCGTGGTGGTGGTGGTGGTTGTGGTTGTGGTTGTGGTTGTGGTTGTGGTTGTGGTTGTGGTTGTTGTTGTTGTTGTTGTTGTTGTTGTTGTTGTTGTTGTTGTTAAAATTACCTTGTTCTGTGAACTGATGTTCGCATGCGCTGTGCCCAGGGAGTGCTCGTGTGATAGATTCAACAAGCTTTGTCGCACCGGTGATCAACATCAGTCATAGTCTCTTGGTGCAAAAATATTGTTTAGCACCAGGTGTAAGTGGAACATTGTAGTGGGCATTGGATGTATATATCAGATTGTATTTGCTGTTGCTTTGGGAAGACGGAACATTGATTGAACATTGGGTGTGCTACGTGTACCAAAAACACCAGTGAAAAGGAAACACGCATCTCCCTGTCAGACACTTCTTTCCACCTGATGTGACTTCCTTCCAATGAGGTGTGCCATGCGGTGATGTGACTTTTCGCCATGTGACTTAGACCCTGCGCTTCTACAAGAGTGTCCCCGGAGAGTGTTGTACAAGAGTGTTCCACAAGAGTGGCCCACAAGGCTGCGCCACAAGAGTGTCCCCGAAAAGTGCCCCACGACAGTATCCCACGGGAGACTGTGCCACAAGAGTGCCCTACAAGAGTTTCCCACAAGAGTGTCCCAAAAGAGTGTTCCGCAAGACTGTGCCACAAGTGCCCACCAGAGTCTCCTAGGAGAGTGTCTTAGCAAGAGTGTCTTACAATAGTGTCCCACGTTCTACGGAAGTGTCCCACAAGAGTGTCCCACCAGAGCGTCCCAGGAGACTGTGCAACAACAGTGTCCCACAGGACTGTGCCACACGACTGTCCCGCAAGAGCGTCGGACAAGAGAGTTCCACAAGAGTGTGCCACAACACTGTCCCACAGGAGTATCCAACAATTTTTTTTCACGAGAGTGTCCCACAAAGACTGTGCCACAGGAGTGTCCCCGAAGAGTGTTCTACAAGCGTTCCCCACAAGAGTGTCAACCATTGTTTGGCCGGTTGCTTTCGAGTACGTGTGTGCTTTCGGGTTTGTGGCCTTTTTCATTCTCGTTGGGAACTTAGGTCGCTACTCCAACACAGGACCATCCGGGGATTGGCTGGGCAGATTGCAGGCAGGGCAATTCTTGAATACCCGCTCAAATAGCTCAGGTCCCACATGGGGTGTTTTGTTCGGGGCAAGAGCACCTGAATGAATTTTTGGTCTTAGTCTTGTGTAGGTCCAGTGTGTGAACATGCTGACGAGAATGGCGATGAAGGCTTGGGAGGGCTTGCTCCACTTGCGAGTGCGATAGTGATAGTGCTAGTGCCATTCAGTAATTTTCCTCAAGTGATGCTTTTCCACGAATGCCAGACGTTGTGGAGTATATGCAGCAACAACAGCGACTTCAGTCAGCACGCCTGAAGACCTTGCGCAAAGGACAGCTCATGTTTCGACAGCGCGGACAAACTTTGCTGTTGCATTCCAGGGTTGGCTTTATCAGTTGTGTGCACCTTGCTTTTGGAGACTGTCCAGGAATGGTTGTTTTTTCAGCGCCTTTCAGGAAACCCAGAAGCGAAGTCTATGCCGCTGATCTTCATCCATACCATCATGGGCAACAGTTTCTTGTATCAATCTTTGGCAGGAGAGTTGCCTGAGTATCATATTGTGGCGATCGATGACCCCAACTTTGGGGATCCTGATCATCACTTCAAAACGCTGGAAAGCATGGCGTGGTGCTATGCCAGTCTCATCTTGGAGCAAAGCGAGATCTGTGAACCGTACCAGGCAGGGGTTTGTGAGAGTAGAGCCGTGCAGGAGTCAGTCTTATCATTCCAGTTCAGTTTTGCGGCTTGGGTTTCCGAGGTGGCAGGGCTTTCATTTGGAGGAGCTGTTGCCTTGGAAGTGTGCCAGCAACTGGTGCGCCGAGGTAAGAAAGCCACTGCCATCATGCTTGACACTGTTTGTCCCCAACCAGGCCATTTGAAGCTGCCGGATGCGACAGTGGTGCCAGAGAAGCACGTTATGGGCAAGCTTAGAGAAGACTTGGACCAATTCTACCAGATCGAGCTTCGTAACAATGAACGCATTCTGAACGACTACGATGCAAAGCAGCATGGACAGCAATGTGCGCCCATGTTGCGGGTGGTTTTGTTGAAAGCTCAAGGCCTCGATGGCACTAGTCGGGCGCTGAGGGGCTTGGAGGACCTACAAAATGGCTGGGGATGGCTGCATCCAGAGATGTACAGTGTGCCTGGGTCACATTTCACCATTTGTGAGCCTGGCTATGCAGAGCGGACATCTGCCGCGATCCGGTTCGTCCTGGGTGGAAAGCCAGTGAAATTGTCAAGTCTCTCTGACCTTTGGTTTCACGCAGTTCGTCACGGTGATAGCTTTCTGTACACCAGATTGCTGAAGCATCCAGAGTTTGCAGAGTGCTGGATCCATGATGAAGCAGCAGCTCACCACATGACTGCTCTCCAGATGGCAGCAGAAAATGATGACGTTTTCCTGGCAAAACTTCTATTGACCAAGGGTGCCCGGATGACTTCCAACGGCAAACATGCTGTAGATTCTGCTCTCAATGCAGCAAGCTTTCGGACCTTCAGCCTTCTGAGCCTTCTAAGCCAGCGTACGGAAAGCTCTACAGAGTTGGTGTTGGATGACTTTGGTGATAGAGAAAACAAAAAGCAATTGGAGATCTTCTCGAGGCCGGTTGGGGCTGCCGAGCGGAGAGGGCAACCTTGGCTGCGAACGCTCAAGGCCATGAATGCCTCAGGCGACTCGACTCGCCACCATGAGGGCCCAATGGGTGAGCAGCTACACTTGCTCCAGCAGTACAGTTGAGGTTGCTGCAAGTGTTGTAGCTAGTAAGCAGCTAGTAGCTAAACGCATGCTGATAGGCTTTCATCCGTTCATTTAGCCGGACAAATTGTACAGACAACGGTGCCCACACTGATGCGCAAGTTTCGCTCCAATGTGGGTGTGCGCTCTTATGAAAGGACGAGTGCGAATCAAACTCCGCGAAGAGTGCGCAGCGCATCCGCCAACCTTGTCGGCCCACGAGGTCGTCACAAGGCTTGTCGCTTTATGATTTGCCTGTCATTTTGAGAGACACGTTTATTCATAGTCAGGCGTTGACTTTCGCACTTGCTGGCATTGCGGTTGGTTGTTCTTGGCTCGGGGTTGGCCGGCCATGCTGTAGCCTGCTTGTTGGGTGAGGCGCTTCTTTTGATCAATTGCCGACAGTTCTAGGAAGATCGAACAAGCCTTGTTTGATGTTCAATGTGGAGTTCACTTATATCTTGTTTTTCGCGTGGAGGTGAATGTCTTGGGCGAAAAGTGGACGATTGCTCCGGCTGGCAGTCTTGGCAGGCAAATTGGGGGCTGGCAAGAGGTTCTTCAGCAACTTCCCTGTGTAGTAAAGTTGTCAAATCAGCATTCTAACTGAGTGACGTTGAGGCTTTGGAGCACTCCCAGGATTTCGCAGCATGGCAGTGGCACCTGAGAAGAGGCCGAAGCTGAGTCCAAAGTTGGACTCCAAAGTCTTCAGTGCATGGTACTGGGAGGTGAAGGAGCTGGCTGCTTTTCTCAGGGAGCAGGGCTTGCCGAGCAGTGGGCTGAAAGCTGACCTGACTCAAAGGGTGTCCGAATTCCTTCAAAAAGGGCGTGTGACCGAGAGACGTGCTGCACCAGGTGCGATCGGTCTTCGTGATAGTGCAATTCCAGGTGGATTGAAGTTGAACACGCCTGTGAAGAATTACAACAATGATGCCATCACTCGTACATTCTTTGAAAAGCATCTCGATGGCTTTCGCTTCAACGAGTACCTGCGCGGCTTTGCGAAGGGAATCCCTGAAGGCCAGAAGCTCACTTATGGGGACCTGGTTGAAGGTTGGAAAGAGGCCGAGAAAAAGAGAAGCCAAGGCAAGCAAGAGATTGGCAAACAATTCGAGTACAACCAATTTACGCGGGACTTCTTTACCGCCAATCCAGGGAGTTCTCGCAAGGAGATGATGGATGCTTGGAGGACAATTCGTGACTTGATCAAACACTGAATGTTAAATTTTTTTGAATGATGTCACCGTGTCACCTATACCGTATGTAGGTGAAGGTGCTTTAGCTTTATATAGTTTTATATAGTTGTATTTATAGTTTGTAATCCGTCGCTGTCTTTTGGATGCTTGTCACTCGACTGAGGCAATTGTGCGGGCCCCAATACATACAAGGAGTTCGCGCGACTGAAGAAGGGACCGCGCGGCTAGGCGAGGCGCGGTCCAGGAAGGGATCGCGTAGCTAGTAGCTGCTATTCGACGAACATAGGCGATCCTCGGAAGAAAAGAGTCGTTCCGAGGCTTGCGTGCACATCCAAGGACCTGCAACAACCAATCAGTCAAGATGTGACAGTCATTCATATGCTCAAGGAAGGTGCTTGCATTTCAGTTGGCTCAAGCCAAGTGTACTTTTCAGTAAGCGCAAGAAGATACTTGGTAAACACATGCTGTAGCAGCGCCACTGTTGCGGTAGAGTGCGAATCCAATATTCAACATGTGGTGCAAGGTGGACCAGACAAGAAACGGTTCCTGAAAATCAAGATGTGGTACCAATGTTAAGCTACATGACGAGATCTCTTTAACTATCAGCCAGCACCTGAAGATTTCTATCATGGCCATGCTGGTGCCATCAGCATTTGTGCAGGCATCTGAACATCGTGCAATCGAGAGATTCCTTCAGTGTCCACACCGCGATATCGATCGTGTCAACTAGGTAAGTCCGTTCAGGATGAGTTTCTGCTTCACAGCGCCATTGGCGGATTACAAATTCGATTGCTGTTACGTGCACATGATCGCACACCTGTCATGGACCAAATCTGTCAACTCGCATGACTTCCATCTTCTTCCCAGCTGTGTCGGTTCGCAGAAAGCCCGGGGCGGCCCGGCTCCACGCCGGACGGTCGCCGTTCGCCTGGCGTGGCCCCCATGAGCGCGGTGGTGGACTCGTGGGAGGAGTTGTGCCCCAAGAAGAAGGGGAGGCGCAACTGCGCAACCGAGTTCTTTTTGTTCCATGTCCAATGTTGGAAACGCATGCATCTGCATCCATGTGAAACCTCAAACTCTTGACTTTTGGAGGCAACTCACGTGGTGCTGAGTTGGGGGTGTTCCCACTTTGTATCCCTGATTAGGAAGCCCAAGAAGGAGGAGAAGCCGGTGGTCCATCAAGCCTCAGCACAACGTGTCCGCAAGAAGAAGCCTGAGATGGTTGCGCCAGCTGTGCACCCGCCGCCGCCACCGCAGCCTGTGGTAAACACTTCGCAGGTGCCCATGGTGTCCAGCTATGCGCAAGAAGCTCCATTTGAACCTCCCTATGCGCCGTTCCCTGCGAATTTTTACCATGGGGTTCAGTACCAGGTGTTCCAAGCCCCACAAGAGGAGATGAAAGAGACGAAGAAGGAGGTGAAGAAAGAGGGCAACAACGAACCCATCCCGCAGAAGACAGTGGGAGGCCGGATTTAGCTAGAATTTGAAGTATGTGCCTTGTAAGGTTGTGCTATACGGTCGTTTGTTCTTCAGTCTCCATGCAAGATCAAAAAAAATCTTAAACATGTTCGTTTTGTGTTTCAGTATGGTTAAAGTTACAAATCATACACACATCCTGGCTATAGGTCCAAAAGCAGAGCAATGGTCCCATTTGCAGTTGTTTGCCAGGCCACTTTCACGAGGACTGGGAGGAGTTGTGCGACTCTGACTTTGGCGGTCAAAGCACTGAGGTCCATTCTTTGGCCTCTTCAGTGCATTCCTCCCCAGCAGGACCCACACAGGCAGCAGCCCCAGTGAATGCGCCGCCTTGGCTGCTGTGCACCAGCACGCGCCGCCGTGGTAATCTGAAGTAGACCTGAAGAAGGGCGGATTGGGTCCAGGGCAGCTCAAGCTTGAAGAATAAAGTGAGATTGTAAAGGTTTGTAATTTTTTACAATCTTTGTGTTAAGTTAAGAGTGTTTTGGTAGAATTTCGGAGGACTGTGAACTGACGCGAGCCCGACCATGATTGGCATTGGCATTCGTGCTTGCATTTGAAATCGTGTAGCACTGAAGTATCTGCCAAAGACAGACTCCTTTAAGAAAGTTGCATGATGTCAGGATGAACGGGGAGGATCTGCGAGGATTTGCTGTCGTTATGTTGTCTCAAAAATGTGACGAAGTTTGACCAACTCTCGAGTCCTCCCTGATATCCTTCAGGTGTTGCATATCAAGAGGGTCATGGATTTAAACCCGTTTCCTTCATATGCGATCAGTCGGTATCTTCGGATCACCGAGTTCCATGACATCTTGGCTATTGTTCAAAGCTTTCCTGACTGCGGGGAAGCCATCCACAAAGACGCTGCGACATTTTTTTCACTGTTCAAAGCGGATTCTGCTCTTCCAAGCGACTTTGACCATTTACAGTTTATATGTCCCTTTTCGAACAGATGGGTACCCGTGCAGTCTTCGGCCGATGAATTCACAGACATGCCTCCCTTGGGTCCTTGAGGTCCTATGGTCTTTGTGGTCTTTGTGGTCTTTGGTCTTGGGGTCCAGGGAGCTGTACAGAAGAGGGCGGCCGTCCTATTGGCCGGATGAGGAGATCTTCCTTACCGGCCCTGGTTTCAGAGTGGAAGAAAAGACCGAGAGATGTGAGGCCATGAGAGCGTTGAGAGCATTGAGGAACGGAGTTGGAGGCTTGAGGCAAAAATACTATGGCCAAGGGGCAGGAAAGGTTCGAGGCCCTTTGCTCATTGCTAACACCTGGCAGGTAGACGATTGGGAAGTGAGTGGGACTGGCCAAAAGACGCAATGCTGCGTTCCTTTTGACTGGGACGTTTAGAACCAAAGAGAAGTGCTTGGGCATTGAAGAATTGTGGAATTGGAGACCCACTCCGAATCGCTCAGAGCAGGACATCCTTCACTTCCATAAAGCCTATCTTTGGTCGAGCTTTGTGGAACTTGCAGTGTGACACCCATGGGCTATGCAGGGTCTCGTAAAACCTCCCTCTTCGACCTTCACGAACTCTGCTGGACAGAAAGGGAATCTTTTCGTTATGCTGACAGCCCATCCTGACACCTGTGTCTTGGAAGAAGGATCTTTTCTAAAGATCCAAGTGTTCTCACCACTGAACACCTGACATTTGTTTGAATATTCTTTAGCCTTTGATGATGGGTTTGGCTCACATTCCTGCCGAGTCAACAATCTTTGTGCTAGACATGACATTGACGCATGCTTGAGGGGAAACATATGACGCGCCACATGCTTCGACCTTGGAACATGTGACAGCTTAGCAGGCTGCAGAGACGAGATGTCAAGCAGCCCGTCACTGGGTTTCATGAAAGTTCTGCACCACCCAGTACCGCCTTTCTCTGTAGCAAGCCAAACGAAGCTCACTGCGTGACATGCTGGCATAACTGCTCTAATAAGCTACAGGGTACCGCATCGGAAAAGCAAAGGAGGAACCATTATATACGTCTATCCAAAGACTATGCCATGCCGTCGTCTGACAAGAAGTCGGCCAAGGAGCGAGTGCTGGGTAGAACCTCAAACATGTTGACCAAAACAGAACCTGGGATTGGAGGAACACTCTGGAAAAGGAACAATTTGAGAGGTTCTTTGGGGTCATCATATTTCCTAAACTATTGGTTATCGGAGTCTGTGAGCAAGACAAGGACCGAGCGGGATTTGATGTAGGATGCCAGATGCTTAGTGTAGGAGCTTTTGCGAGCAATTATATACTTTGGTGTGTAAAGCAAAGCAGATCATGCCCACAAGGTCTTCTTATGTCTTCTTCATTTCTATGATTTGACTCATGGACTAAACAGCCAGTAGAGGACTGGACCCCGGATTTGCTGTCGTCTGGCCAGGATGAAACGCAGCAGTCCTTCTTTGAGGTGCTTCTGGATGCGAAATGTGGGCTTGTACCAGTCACGCCTATATACTTGGGCCTCATCTCTTACTGAGAATGGTCCGCACTTCCTGAGTGCCTCTTTTGGGCTTGCAACATCCTGACATCTTACCAAAAAATCACCCCCAAATCGGCAAAACCTCCACACCCCTGCCATTTCAAGAGGTTCAGAACCCTTGCCGCCTATTCTGCTTAGAACGCCTGT